AAGTCTAAGGTTCAATTCTCACAGATGATGAATTTTAAAAATTATATTTGTGTTATGATAACTGTCTCTTGTTAATCAATTAGGTTTTGAGTATCTGTAATCTTAGGTATACCAAGTTGGGCTTTACCTGACATTGAAAGCTCAGAGCATCTATATGAAGTGTAATGTTATATGTATATAAAGAAATATAAAAAACCAGTGTTGTATAAGGCTTCAGTGCAAACCTGTGATAAGACCACCAGGCATAGAAGGCTAAAAAACCAAGGAGACAGAAACCTACTTAGAAATTCTAAGTAAAGAGATAGTACAAACTTTCAATGATACTATTGAACTGATGGAAACCTATGAAACATCTTTATAGAAACTGTCAGATAAACCAGATGACAAGATGTATAGAAGAGCATATGACCAACCAGGCCACTGAAATTGCCAGAGAAAAAGGATATATAAGTATACTATACTAGGCCATCTGAATTAAAAGTCTAAAAAGTTAGTTAGTTCCAAGTTGTAGCTAGTAGAGGATGATAGAAAAGAAGTTAGAAAGATGAATGCCAAGGTTTGGGTGAACTTTACAAGAATAATAGTGGTTTAAGAGGTAACTCTGACTGCAAGTATTGGGTCCAGCCATAGCATTAAACCAGATTAGTAGTAAAAGAGAATACAGCTTGCTCTAATAAATTTACCTCGAGGATAAAAATAGTCTAAAAATTATAGTTCTATAGTTAAAAGTAAACAGATTTGAGTCTGTAATCTGGTGAAATTAATACTAGGGTCAGAGGGTTTAAATGAAACATCTAAACAAAAGTGTTAGATATAACAACTGGTAGGAAACCTTTAGATGAACTCTTTAAATAGATAATATAGAAAAGTTACATATGTAGCCAGTTGTACACTTATCTGATAGTTTATTATAGATATGTCTATATAAAACATGTACCTAATATAAGTATTAATAAAAAGCTAGAACCAAAGAAGTCATCTTAATATCGAAAAAAAACATTGTATTCTACTCTTAAGTAATCTGCTTATATATTGCTATATAGAGTCTTTGACTTGAAAATAACCTTACAGAACATAGTAAATTATATAATCCAAATTTGATTTTCAAGACAAAGACCTTATATAAGTTTTATACTAAATGCTATATTTACAAGTCAACTATAGGTCTTGCTTATTTAAATCTTTTGTATATGTTTTCAATCTAAATTACAGAAATATCTTTAGAGTATAGCTTATTTAAGTTTCTGATTTTATTGATATTCTTAGAATTATTTTATTCTTAACAGAAAACTTACTTAAGTTTATTATATTTTATATATATAATTAATAATTTTATACAATATGCTATAGTTATCTAATACTTGCAATTACAAAAATTATCTGTTTAATTATTATATTATACTATTTTTGTTTTTATAAAGTTTATTAAAATTTTGATATTTATCTTTTTGATATTATTTTTATCATTTTCTACAATCATCATTTAACTGACAAACTTTAGTCAGACTATCAATTCAAATAGCTTAGTATAATATACTTCTGTATTTTTTTCTTCTAATGAATTTAATAATCTGACTAGTTATATACTTTTCTATATATATTTTATATTTAGATTATTTAATTTGTTTTTTTAAAAGTAGTTTATAGGCTTTAACTAGTTTAATAATATTATTAAAAGTTTATATTATTTTTTTATTTAAGAATTTCTAAATAGATTTCTGTCATCTTAATTTCTTAGTTTTTTATACCTAATGGTCTTATATATTATGAGTTTGTACTGAAGTTTTATATAATACTAATAAGTATTTTTTATATATATATAATGTTATATTTTGTATAAATGCTCTAAGCTTTTAAGATACTAGATTTGATATATCTAGCTTATAGCTACATGAGGCCAACCAATACACAAAAGATAGTTATTATAATACAAATATAATTTTTAAATTTTATTATAGATAGAATTAAATATTAGACCTATATTTAAAAAATAACTATACTAGAATCATTATTTATTAATTAGTTATTATATCTATATATTTTTTTCTCTTTGACAGTCTTGCCAAGATCTTTTTTTATGTCTTTTATATCTTTTTGATCTAATATTTTTAATATTTTAAGATCACTAGACCTTGACCTTTTTAGTTTATACTTTTAAACTTCTTAGAAGTAATTTGTTATACTAATCTCTGCTAAGATCAGAAGGCTTTGCTAAGCTTTATGTAAAACTGGCTGTTGTTATGAGTTTATGTAATATTTCTTATTGTTAGACTTTTGGTCATATATTATGTCTCATGACTTCAGTTATTTCAAATCAAACTCTAACTCATGTCTGTTATTGTATAACTTATTAACTGCAGGTCACTTGCTATTTCTGAAAATAAGTTTATTCTTAGACATTTCAGGTCTCTGATGCCATAATGTTATAATTCTCTATCTTGAAATACATTTTTACAATTGTTATCATTAGGATTTGAAACAGCAGCCTTGTAATTTGTGTTCTTAAAGCATAATTACTATATTATCAACCCTAGAGATAATTAGTTATTATATTAAATATTATTAATTTTAATATTAATTAAATATTAATTTTATTTATAAATTTAAATACAAATTTATAAATACTTTTTTTATAATTATCTAAACTAAATTTTTTAAAAAATTGAATTACAGAAAAATAATATAATTAATATATTAAATTTTATAAAAATTTGTTTGAAATACTATATACATATAATTAGATATTAAAATAAAGTTGAAAAAAAATTGTAGCTTTGTGATAATGGTTTAAAAATACTCTAAAATTATAAAAGAAATAGATAATAAAAACTAAAGTTTTTTATTAAATAAATAACAAAATTGAATATATTAGTTCTATATAATTATAAAATTTATAAGAAATATATATAAAGATTAAAAACTTACAGAAATTATAAAATTAGTTCATTTATCATTTTTATTTTTTTTTAAAAAAAAAAATTATAAAAAATTGATAATTTAGTTTAGTTTTTTTAAAAGATTAATATATATAATCACCAAAACTATTAATTGTATTTATTTTTTAAATTTGTTTATTAATAATATAGATCAAAAATATACAATAATACAAATATGACTATTATTGACATTAAGAGTTTATATATTTTTAATCATAACTTTTAATGTACCAAACCAATTTGGATAAAAAATCATCATTGGATTTAGTTTACCAAGATGGTTCTAATAAGTACAAAATCATGTAATTCTGATTATAAGATTACAAGATCAGAATGATTTTAATGAAGTACTAATTTTAGTATATGTGACTTAGTTAAATTAGCTAAGTTACAAATTTCTCAAATCTTTCAAATAGTATAAATATCACATATATTGAATTTCTTAAATATATATTATTTATTAGATTTTTCTTATATATATAATATTTCTTAAATATAATATATAATATATATCTTTTATATCTTTAATATTTCTTATCATATATTATAATATTTAACATATTCTATTAAAATAACTTAACCTTATTGTAATAATTTATATATGTAAAATATCTATAAAAGCATTAATTTCTGATCTTTCAAAAAAATTAAGTATTTCTATACTTCACATAAATATTTTCATATATTTAGAAATGTCTTCATATATTTTAATAATAAATAAACTGAATGCAATATTTAGTATTTTTATATACTATCTATTGTTGCCTTTGTCTTAAAATTTCAAATCATTTTGTATTTTGTTAAGTCTTGTGTAGACTTTGTATATAATCTGTCAAATTATAGTCATTATACTATAATTGAACAGCTTCTGTTATTACTGTATTTAAAGAAAAAACTATAGGTTAACACTATACATATATTTTAAATTGCTAAAAATCTGTCAACTACTTCTTTTAAACTAACCAATACCTTATATTGATCCTTTATAATCAAATCAAAGTTTTTTTACTTCTATATAGTTTTTTGTTAAATAATCTAAAAAAATAAAAAAATAATAGAACTATTTCTATTTAGTATAATTTATAATTTTTAAAACTTAATATAGTCTTATAATTATAATTATCTAATATTTGTGAATTGTAAGTTTTGTATATTTTTTTTTGTTTATTCTCTTTCTTTTTTTATTTCTTAGTTTATATCTTTTATTATTTATTTCTATATCTTTGTTTTGTTTTTATATATAAGGTTTTTTTTGTTTTTTGTCTTTTTACAAAAAGATATCATCAAATTAATAATATTTTATTATAAAATAGAATCAGACAAACAGTTTATCTCTAACTAAGATAATGTAACAAGTTGCATTTAAGTACCATCTGAATGATTAAATAATACTAAACTTGAATATTAAAAAATTATATATGATTATATATAGTTTTAAGAATCTTAATAAAGTACTAGCATGACTACTAAAAGTAAAAAAATAAAAATAAATACAAATTTATAATAAAAAATAAAATTTGTTAATGCCATCTCCTTTATATAAATATTTAACCTCCAACCTTTCTAATACTAATTATTAATTAAGATTAAATTTTGTAAAATGACATTAACAAAAATAAAAGGTGATATTAACAAGTCTCTAAAAAATATTTACAAATTGATCTAAAATTTCTAATTTATACCACAGGCAATTATTATCTGTACTAATATATTTTAATAAAACGAGTCAGGTATATCAAGTAAAAATGTTCAGAATCCTGAAAACCTTATATAACCTAAAATTTGAACTATTATATCTAATCCCTTTCTTGGTTTTAAATTGTACTCTAACTCTACATCTTAACAAAAATATGAACCTTTGATTTTTTCATTGATAAACCATAATTTTGAAATATATACTAAATATTGAATTTATTAAAAACTTAAAGTTTTGATATCGTTCATTTACTTAAATAATTAAAATTGCCTTAAAAAATGACATTTGATAATACTAGTATTTCCGAATAATGGTAATAACTTGAGCCAGATTAGCAGGTATAATAAAATTGTCGTGTTCGTAAGCTTTCAGATTTTTGATTGTTCAAAATCTTGAATATTGAGATCTGCACTTGCAAGAACTTGACTCGTCAGAATCATACCTTCATCAGCATCAAGAATATCGGGATTATGTACTTCAAGATTCCATGTATCAAGAATTTAGACGATCCCAAGTATTACAAGTATACGACCTAAATTTCTAAACATTTATATAATTATAAACTCATGAAAATATACACATGACTTTATTATATAGTTATTTTGATTGGTTAATATTAACTGCTATATGTGCATTAACATTATATTCATTCCAATGAGATTATACTTTCAGTGGAATTTTTCATTGAAATCACTGGAATATTGAAAAATTCCGAAAGTACTATGGGATCCCGATTCCAATTAACTTTGAATGCGTTGTTTTCGTTGATCATCCAATTTTTGTGTATAGTTCCACAGCTCCGGTGTTAGCTCAAATTGACCAAAGCTTAAAGTTACCAATCTAAATTTCCAGATTTATAATAAATACTAATTAAAATTTTTTTTCATAAGGTCAAGGAAATATACTAACCTTGCTAAAGTCATTCGCAGTAATAGGTCAGTTTGAGTTACCAAAGGTTGACCAGTTTTTGAGGCATTTTTCCGTTGGTTGACGAATTCATTTTGAATATGCTGGCATAATTTATATATATAATTAACATTATGCGACCAACAGTCATAACATCCATTTAAATAAGTATACCTCCGAAACACTTTCAGGGATAGAATATTCAGCGTATCGAAGAGTACTAAGATATATCCTAAATTCTGCTAAGATTTCTTCTTGTACGTCAAACATTAACGTATCTTCAACGTTAGGAATTAAAGGAATAATGCAATCACACTATGGATAAAAAATTGTAAATATTTAAAAGAATATTTTTAATAAAGATAAGGTCTGTCAAAATTCCTCACAGGTAGAAATGATCTTGCATTCGACAATATGATTGCACCAATATCAGTTTCAAATTCAAAATCATTAAATGGAAAAGCATATTTAAGTTTCTGATTGTCAAGAATTTCATTCAACGCTTGTAGATTACGAACGCCTTCAAAGCAAATAAATAACGATTAGTACCTGAATTATATCAAATAAACATTAAAACGAAGCAAAGATACCAATATCATCGAGTTTTCCTTCTTCCATAACAGTCTCATCAATTAAAAACCAAGTTCCTTGATTAACTTGAAGTATCCCAGAATCTAACTTATCGTTATCTCGCGGATAAAAAAGGAACTCATTAAAAGTCGAAAGAGTTAAAGGAAGATCATGATACTTTGGCAGAAGTGAGGAAAGAACAGTGGATACACGCTTTGTAAACACATTTGAATGAATTAGACCCGAATTGGAAGATGAAGATAAGCGCCCGTTTGTAACGAGGGGACATGATGGCACGTTACTTATATTCAATACAAGTTTACCAAGGGTCAAACCATTACGTCGGTTATATCTGAGTAAAAAAACCACATAAATATTATGGTAGCAAATTTCGTTGAAACTACAATACTACGCGCATTCAGGTAACATACATTCTAGATAAAAGTTGTAGCAAAACAAATTCAGCTACTAAGTAATCATTTTTGAACGCGGCAGCAATATATTGGAGTAACGAACTTCGTATATGACTTGCACGACGTTGTATATCTTAAGTTAAATATAAAGATTGTAAGCAATTTTTATAATATAGTTTATATTAGTAATGGCGAGATTGAATTACCATAAGGATCAGTCAGTTGGAGCGATATAAGTGGATTTCCTGACATATGAAGTGTCCTGTAATAGATCGCATGGATACAAGGGACAATGGAGAACGCAACATCGAAGCCACATTCTTCATCGTCTTGTTCTAGTTCATCATCGCTTAATTCTCTAGTTAACGCGCGAGACATCCGTAATTGAGATTTGACAAGATACATGATTCCAAATATAATTCAAAGCATACTTAGGATGAGAAAGGACACCGATGAATTCAACAACATCGGTTACTTTTAAAGAGTCATCTTTTTCATAAAACTATAGAAACAAAAAAAAACAAAGAAACTTTTAATTAGAATATTTCGGTTTTGTAATATAAGAAATGATTGCTGATACATCACTTTTACTATAGCAGCCACGTGATCTTCATTGGGGAATGGAAATTTGGAAGCGACTTTTTTAAATCTATTCTCGCCCTTGCTGTTGTCTAAATGCATATTCGCCGTCGATCTCACAATTTCTATTAGAAAATTAAATCTTTAGAAATAGTCAGTTAAAAGTCATTATGACATCAGAAACATAACAAAAACCTTCGATGTCAGCTCCCGATTCATTAGTTTCACTAAACGACGGACATTCCTGCCTATAAGCGTAGAATTCAAGTCAAGAAGTAATTAATTGAAACGAAGGAATTATTGACAAATTTTCAAATTGACAGGATATCTGTTTAGCCCATTGGGTTTCCCCAGGAACCGATACGCAATAATATAAATATCTTTCATCAAATTTATTATAATGAATATTCGGATCGAAGTCAAACATCACATCCTACATGAATCAGAAATGTGAGATTTAATCAAGAGACGAAGAGATTAATCTGTCTTTTAATAACCGTATCCATATCGTCCGAATACTTGTTGTATTTCCATTTCTATATTGCAAAATTAACAATGAGCGTATTTTTTACGTTCAATGGAGAAAGGAATTACGGTTAGAGATAAAATAGAACTTACCTTGTTACCCTTATGATCCGATGTTTCATAAAAGCTTACAAACATTTCGTGACCAAATCCCGTGTTCTGAATCATGGCCCGAAAGCGAACAAGCGAATGGTGTGGAATATCGTACACGGAAGTATCATTTAAAGAAGGTATCTATGCAGTACAGAATATTAATACTTTTGCGCTGCTGAAAATTTAACTATGTTAAAATCAAACCTCAAGCACGCTTTCTTCAGTTGAGAAAATGGTTTGAAAATATGTTGGTATGTCAAATTCATTCTGCACCGATGAATCAGTACGATATGATTGTTCTAAGGAAAAAAAAAAATTACTCGCTGTTGAATTACTGAATTAAACAATAAAGTAAATAAGCTTTTACCAAGCTGCTGTTTGATCACTTTAAGAGGTTTGGTAATACAATCATAAGAGGTAACTACAGAATCCTTCATATCTGCAAATTGCTAATGCAAATTGTAGTTTGATTAAAAAGCTTATACGTAGCAATTTCGATAATAATGTAGAGAAAGACGCGTTTTTGACGTTCACGAATCACGACTTTGCCACGATTTCACGTGGTTAATTGATAATTGTAATTCTCGGACTTGAATTTTCCGTTTCATAGTTAACGTTATCGATCCTTGAACAAATTAGGGTTGTGTCAACTTACATGCAGAGCATAGGAATTCGTTTGATTCTGATCTACTGATCATCAGTCAAATTTAATGAAGATTGGTTAATATGTCATGAATTAGTGAAATTCGACTGAGTGAAATACGCATCATCTCTCGAATGTGTACTAGGTTAGTGGCGTAATCTGTTATTTTTAATACGTATTAGAGTAAGGTTTAGTATATTCAAAAGAAGTATAAGCTATTTTTAAACTGTATATTTGACATATTAAAATAAAAGAAACTAGCTAAGCAGAATTTGAAACTTCTATCATTGCCAAGAGGGCAAGGTCGAAGTGTCACCTTATATGTATGCCACCCTATAGCTAGGGGGTTTCAGAATTAATGATTTGGCATCTAATTTTGGATAAATAAGTATGTATTTATTTCGAAGTAAGTGATATATATGTTGTATGTAAGTTGGAACGGAATTCAAGTGGATTTGGAATTTTCTTAGGATTTTGGGGTTAGGATGTAGATTTATATAAACCAAATTCTACCCTAAATTATAATTTTAATCAAGAAATTCTAAATTCCGTTCCCATTGTAACACACCTGAATGACCTGTTTTAGTATTAGAACTTTGTTCTGTCGTCTTCGAATCCTTAAATTTACTATAATCTGGCGATCGAACCTCTATTTAATACTTTTGCTATGCCTACTTGCCAAGTATATTACCGAATGAAAATATAGATACGTCTTGAAATTAAGGTTTATTGTTGATTTGATTTTTTCGGCTCAATGTTGAAATTATGTACTACAATATTGAATATTAATAACACTAACGAAAAAAGTGTATGATACATGTGATGATTGTTACCACATCTAACTCTATCGCTATCATAAATTGTTAAATAAGCTTTAACTAAATTTGACCAGTTTTAGCAATATTGAACCCAACGAACTAATCGGAATTGTATTGAATGTAACTTGGCGTTTCGCAAAACAATTACAGAGTTTTACTAGTAAAGCTATTCTTTAGTAGAAAGTAATTTGTTTCACCCCATTTCATGTTTTTGGAAGATGTTTCGCTTGCACAAAGCTCTTTATACCATTCTCCATTTTGGGATTGGTACAAAATTTGATTCGATAATCTATAACCATTTCATTATGAGAAGATTTAAACAAGATCAAATGCCCATACACAAATATAAGAACGATTAACTATATATTATAGGAATTTTCGTGTTTCTTTCGTGATTTTTATGATAATTGCTAAGTAATAAACGATTTCGATTTACTTTTCATTTGTTTTTGGCGTTCATAAATTTTGACAACACATTTTTTTTAGCTTTACATTCCTTACTAAACGACTTCGAATTAATAAATTTATTAACTATTTTTATTAAAAAATTAATATGTATTACCAAAAAATAACTTTTTAAAAGTATTGATTCTTTATCTAAAAATTGTACTCAATTTTAATTCGTCGAACTTGCGTTTTATGTAATGTAACCTATGTCTATAGCGGCATCCTCAGCCTAGAAAAATAATAAGTAAATAAATAAATAAAATTGTTAAAACGTAATGTTAATAAAATTACCTCGTTCAATAAACGTTTCAGTTTCTTTTTCGCTAAGATCTGAATTTTGATATTGTCGACTATTTTGTTAATGTCTGTGAATTTTTTCAATTTGTTCTTCCAAGGCATCGATAGACAAGCTAGGTATTAAAAAATAAATATATAAATAAATTGCATCATAATTGAAAAACCAAGCTACGAAGAACTTGATTTTATGTATCCGTTCATACCCGATTTCCGCCCACCTGACCCTCTTAAGGAATAATTACCTTAATTAGTCAGTTCTGAAAGAAGAATAGACGTTTACAACAAGCCGTCCACTGTAGGTCTCAATGCCTATCTGGTAGCTGTCGCTGGTTGTGATCCGATGCGCTTCTATTTTTTTTAAACTTCCAATTAAAAAGTCACAAAAAGATATATACAATCAACCTGTAACTAAGCTTTTCTTTTCACTTGTTATGCAAACGTGATTGCAGTATTTATTAACAAAAACAACTAGACATTTACGATACATTACCTTATATATATTCCGTATTTTTTTTTTAAAAAAAAAAAAAAATTTATTTAGATGAAAGTGTGACAATAAAAGATGAATAAAAGATAAAACCATAAAAAAAAAGAGGTAATGATATATACAATGCGTATTACATCATTCGTATGATCAGCACTAGCGATGTAAACCAAAAAGTTTTACCAAATTTGACAATTGTTCGGAACAGTGTCGTAATCTAATTTTTGCATCGCTGGCTAGAGTGCAAATCATAAAGCAAATAAATTGTTATTGTCTAGTGATGCAGAAGAATTATTTCCCTGCACCATCGACATTAGTAGCTCACCCACAAGATCTTTTTTCCGGTACGTGATTTTTTGCCAATTAGATCGAAGGATCAGGTGTAACTAGTGCTCCGAATCGGGTCGGGTCGGGTTTGGGTTAGAAAAATCTGATCCGAAAATTTCGGGTCGGGTTCGGGTTGAATATTAACCCGAACCGAACCCGACCTGACCCAACCCAAAATTATACAAATTAGAGATGCTCAAAATAAGCATTTTATATTTTTTTTTGGTTTTAATAGCAAGTACATATGTTTATAATAGCAAGTACATAAGTATTTTTAATAATAGTTTAAATAAACCACCAATCAGATTTCTTCAAACAAAATTGTCATGGCAGATCCTTAATTTTGATTGATTAACGGTCACAGATCGCAAAATTTTTATTGCATTACATAATTTACTAATTTTCGATTGTAATATTGATTTTTTTTATTGCAAAAATAGAAATTTTAGAAAATAATTTTGCATTATAGTAAAATTTGTTCAAAAAAAATATAAAATTATGAGTAATTCTGGGCAAATTTTTTGCTTATTGCTTTTAGCCAATCAAAATTGAGAATTTGTCATGAAATTTTATAAAGCAAAATCAATAAATTTTTTTTTTAATTCTATAAATCATAAAATAAAAATAAAAATTTTTTATTGATTCTATTATATACTACATGACTTTTACTGTAGTAGTTATAATATGTATTAAGTTTAAATTTGATTAGTCAACTTTAATAGATATTATTATATAAATTTTAAGAGCAAAAAGGAGAACTGAATTTATTTTTTAAAAAATTTTAATATATTAGACTTAAAATTTCAGGTTGGGTTGGGTTTAGTTCAGGTTAGATGCAGATTGAGTTAAAGTTTTAATTTGAAAATTTTCAATCTGAACTAGTTAGCTTATAATCTAATCTAATTTGATCTGTTTGGAACACTAGATGTAATATAAAAAGAATTAAGCAAAAGATTTTTAAATAGAGTGATGACCTAGTAAAGTGAATAGATTGTTAACTTCCAAGTGGTAGCCTTAAAGTTCAAATCTTAGTAAAGGTGAAAATTTGCAATTCTTTTTGTATTATAGTTAACTGTCTTCTATAATTAGTTAGAATAAAACATCTGTAACCTGTATTATACTAGCATGACTAGAAGATCTAAATATTTGTACAATATTGTATAAAGAAACACAAACTAGTACTGAGTGGTATAAACCCAAGATAAGTTCTTAGGTCATGTAAATCATGGGAACCAGATAGAAAAATAGAAGTCCATTTGGAAAACCCAAATAGAAAGGTAATCTAAACCTTCAACAGTGTTACTGTAAAGATTAGATTTATAAAATAGAGCTAGAACTTATAAAACTAGACAAAAAGCCAGCCTTTGAGGAGGGACTGAATGGAACCAACTAGACCATCAGGATCTGTTCCAAAGAAAAAGGTTACATATTGGCAAATATATAAATCAGAAGTATATGATTACAACTTGCCTTTTTAGACTATTTGATTTGAAAACTTGGTAGAACTTAAATTAAATACCAAAGTAGTATAAATATGTTGTTAAGTTAGTACTAAGTTTGAGATAAACTCTACAAGAGCATACAGTTTAATGGTATATTCTGACCACCAGTATTAGCCTTGGTCATAATAATATCAGGTCAGCTATAAGAATAAAATACAGCAGATTCTGGAAGGTTTAGTACAAGGTTAAAGGTTTCTTATATAAGTTAACTGCTTTAAAGACTTAGTAGCTATAGCATATTTTTACTGATATTGGTCAGGATCATTGGTAGACAGAAGTAGGTAGATGGATACAGAAACTAGAATAGTTAAATAGGAAATCTATAGGCAGATTTTAGATATGACAACTAGTATAAAACCTTCAAGCAGACTACTTAAATTAAACAATGACTAAAGTTGTATGAGTGACTAGTTGTATACTCTTTTTATAGTTGCTTTCTGTGATTGTAAAGCAACTATTAACTAAATATATTATAAATAAAATCCTGGGTTGCAAGTACTTACCTTAATATTTAAAAAAAAAAAAAGTTTTTTAAGTAATAAGAATTATTTTTAGAGCTAGAATTAAGGATAAAAAAGATTATAGTTTATATTAAAATTTTACAAAAAATTTTTTTTATTAGAACACAAAAAGCACTTTTATAAATAAAATTTTAAGTTAATATTGATGTTTTAAAAAACATAATTTTTATATTATACTTAATTCTTCTATCTAATTAGCTATAGTTATGTGTTAAAAAAATCTTGTAAATAAACTATAGAGGCAAAATATACATTTTTGATACTTTTACATTTACTTTTTTAATACATCTAAACATATTCTAAAACTAACCAATAAGATCACATGCTATTCTAATAAAAATTAGTAAAAAAAATAATAATTTTTAAATAGATTTAGATATATCAAAAAAGTAAATGCA